CCAACGTTACACAAACCAGCTAATAGGAGCAGACAGGACACAGGGCTGGGGAGCAGAGGCTTTGCTGCCTCAGCTCTATAACAGCCCAGGGGCAAAGCTGGCCCAGTGCTCAACTAGAGCAGAAAAGCACAGACCAAGCCCGCCTGCCCTGCAAGGGAGGGATTAGCTAGGGAGCCACAAGGGCTCCAGGGATGCTGGGGGACTATGATCTAAGTTGAGTCAGGAGGGGATCTGGTGCAGAAGTTTGATAGACTGGTTTAACCTAAACTAATTAAATCTGATAATACATCCATCCAGGTCTACCTTAGACTAGGTTCTACCATTTTTAAACCAGCCTATGCACATTGAACCTCTGTTCTGTTACAGGCTTAGACTACTATCTAAGTATACCAGTTTATGCGTAATGTCTGTCCCTTGCTCGGAAGTATCATAGTGGAGAATGCTCAGAGTAACAGAAAAAACAGGCCAAAAACAGGTAAAGAAGATAACTTGAGAGCCATCAGTGTGCCAGCTCCCCCTTATAGATCTGGTTACGCAAGAACACGTCACATCAAACTCATTTAAAAATAAATAAAAATCAAGGCAGATAGTCTTAAAAACCGCAAATATACATAAATCTACACAAAAAATACATTCTAAAGCATGTGCATTATACATAAAGAGCAAAATACGTATTAAGTGCATCTTTAATATGAATTGCTATTCCGACTCCAACTATGTGCCATTTACGACATATGTTGCCAAGTTAATCCATTTCCCACTAAGAATTAACACAATGAATTGCAAGATGGGTCCAGTAGCACACAGTGCATTTGTTTTGCATGATACTGCTGACTAATTCTGGCCTTTGAACTAGCCCATCCTGCCCCAGAAGGATCATCCATACTAACAATGTGCAGCCAGCATGAGGAGCATGACTAAGGAGAAATAGTTTCCAGACAGCAGCCCTTAGTGTGAGCTAATCCATAGCTGAAGCTTGGCTTCTTGATGCTCTGAGTAGTATGTATAAACCAGAACAGCCTTCAGGCTTCTGAAGCCCAGTGCAGGAAGATCTCATAAAACACACACACAGTGCCTCCTTGCAAGCCAAAAGGAAGATTAATACCATCTTTGCATCTCAGACCATATTTATGCTGTCCTCTTCTTGCCTATAGTCAAGGAAGCAACCACATATTTTCAGTTTTAAATACAACTGCACCAAATATTTAAATGTAAGAGGTTGAAGTTATATTCAAACATATGAACTTCCAAAGCTATCATTTATGCAGGCCAATATATGTTAAAGCATCCTATTAATATGTCTGCACATGCTGCAATGCATACATAGAAGATTGCATTTTCTTTCAGGATTTATTTTCCTTTTAAAAAAATGTGGCCAATATAACCTGGCTTATAAACCAAGGGTCTCAGTGAACAGTCTCTCATAGTACACAAAGGAATAAAGCCAAGTACTGTGTTGGGAAACAAAACTTCAAATAAATGTCTCTGAACTCCAGTTTCATTTACTGAAATGGCTTTCCTTGTGATGGCTGAAGCAGATGATTATTAATGACCTGCATTTAAAATATACTTGCAAATAGAGAGTACATAGTAGAAAAATGCAGATACCTTCCTGGCCTTCCAGATGCATCTTCAGTATGATTTGCTTTGTGCTTTGGTTATTAAAGTAATAACTCCAGTGTCAAAACAGATTGCAGGAGCATGGGACAGTTTGTTACTGGCACATGTTATCATAATCTTCTCTCACTGAGTGTTCTTCCGTTTCCTTTTCTGGCTTAGTTTAGATGAGTCATCTCCTAAATGACACAGAAAGCTTTGGGGCTGACCACCTGCAATCACTCACAAATACATTAGGCTCATTTGCACCTACATCTTAAACCCCTTGCACTGGGCTAGAGCTGATCAAGACCAAAAATTGTGGGGCCAAAAAAAAGTTGTTTGGCAAGAATATTGGGTGAAATGCTTCAACAACAAGCTTCTAAATGAAACAAAACATAACATCTTAATAGTGATTTAAAATGTGTTGAATTTCAGGTTTGGGAAAACTGAAGATTTTGAAGACTGCAGCAATGTTGCTATCATTCTTCTCCTTTTCTCCTCTCTCTTTAGCACTGAAGTCAACAGAACGAACCATGTCCAAGGTTTGCTTTCTTCCCCTCCAACTTACCCTTTTTCCTTTGACATTTTTTACCTCTTTTAATACCAGAGCTTATCAAACATCTCTATCTGTGGAAAAAGAAATAACAAGAGTTTGCATCTTTGCAGGAACTTTTCCAAAGATAAAGAAACTTTGAAAACTTACAGGTTGAGTGAAGGGGAAAAAGAGAATAAAACACATCCCCTAGACACCTTTTCCTATAGTCAGAGGTTCCCAACCTAGAGACTGGTAAGGCTTCATCGGATGTAGGCTGCTGCCTATGAAAGGTCACACCTCTCTGAACCAATTATGCTCTATGGGTGTGGATATCAGCTGACTCAGGTTAGGCAGCTTCCTTAGAGCCAGCTAAACCTAAGTCAGGTTCTGCCATGGGCAGGGCAGCTGGAGGTAAGTAAAGTGAGGGGGAGGAGGGAGCTGGCAAGCCTCTGGAAGGGGCTCATAGGTGCAATGGAGGGCAGTGGGTCTGCAGGGTGGGGCTGGTTGGTCTACAGGGGTCTGCCTGGTCGGGGGGAGGCTGTAGCTGAGGCTGTGGTGAGTGGCTGGGCTTTCCCAGTCCGAAGGTTGTGCTGAAAAGCACTCAGATATTCATTAGGCCAGGTTAACCCATTTCAGATCAAGTTAACCCAGGCAAGTCTAAACTTAGTGCACCTGCTCTGCCATCTGCCTGACTTCAAACTAACACCGCTAGTCAGCTTTCAACCTAGAGACTGCAGCACTCGTGAGTGGAGCTGGGAGCTCCATGGAGTTCTTAATTCTCCTCACCCAGCAATTACCCCATGTGCCTGCAGTTAATAGATGGCAGGGACATATCAAGCCTCAGCGGCACCATGACAATTGTCCCTGTGTTTATAATTACCCTAAAGTAAGTGACAGCTAAACCAAAATAATCTGTTGAAGTAGTCTCTTGCTCTGATTCAGTTAATCTATAAGGTGCATCTCTACTGTGGCTCAGAATAATTTAGCCCAGTTTCATTCTGGGGGAAAAAAACTGCCCTTGTTTTGGGCATGGGGTAATTTTGGGACAGATTGTAATGAGCTCAGATAGGATCCTGGACCTAGCCAGTCACAACTGAGCAATCAGGGCATCAATCCCCTGAGGTTGCAGGAAAACAAACCCCACATGCTCCTGCTTTTAAAAGCAAGCTCCAGACAGCAGCAAGGGGTCTGGTCAAAGACTAACGCTTGTTCTTGGCCCCTCTGCTGTTCCTTGACCTTGCTAACCTTGAACTCTGGCTCTTACTTCTGGACTTCACCCATTTAACCAGGTAGCCTTCCCCAAATGCCCATGCCCTCATTCTTAACACAGATAACACAGAATGCATAAGTGCCCATCTCCAAAATTATAACTGTGAAAGTTTAAGACTGTGAAGTGATATATGAATCTTTTTACTGTAATATGCACTTGTGAGCTGAAAACAAATAGGATTCCAGGTGGTGTATGCTATTATCTTTTGGCTGATGTTCAATAAAAATGAAAAGAGGCTTTGACAGTATTTGGAACAATAGCATGATAAATGTTACAAATACTGGAATATTCAGCTTTACTAATTGTTCTTTAATATAATAGAAAAATCTAATGCATTAAAAAGCGATCTCTTTCTCTCCCCAGCCCTACAACCATACCTTCTATGCTCCTAATTCCCAAAGTGCTGCATCCTTGGAATCAGATACAGTTCCTCCAGCGTAACAATGTTATCTGGTTCATTTATTTACATGGCATGGGAAGGCTGCCTAATTTGCAGATTTTGATAAATAGGGGCAATAAACATTCACCAGCTGCTTGACATTTTTCTTTTGGTGTTGCTGGCATTTGTGATGGTTGGCCTGGGACTGGGCCAAGTGTTCTCAGCTAATAGTTCCAAGTATCTTGCCAGGAATACCTCAGTGAGCAAGTCTGTATGATTTGCTACTCATCCCTTCCTTTTAAATCTTCTCATCCCACTTAATCTACTAGAGAAATAAGAGTAAATACATATTTCATAGACATTAGGGCTGGAAGGGACCTCGAAAGATTGAGTCCAGCCCCCTGCCACTGGGGCAGGAAGTCAACTGGGGTCATAGGATCCCAGCAAGATAAACATTCAAATTTCTTTTGAAGGCATTCAAAGTAGGTGCTTAAACCACCTCCAATGGCATGCTATTCCAGACTCGGACAGTAAAGAAAATTTTCCTTATGTCCAGCCTGAAACGGTCTTGCAGGAGTTTATAATCATTCAGCCTTGTAATCCCTTGGGGTGCTCTGATAAACTATGTCCTAAAGCAGCTGGAATTTTTCTGTTACCAATAAATCTCTCCAGCCTTTCAAATCTTATCACCTTGCATGTACCCAGAACAAATGCATGTGCATGTGGGCACATAATAGGATGTCTTTACATGTGCTCTGGGGGCAGGGGGTGCTTTAATTAGAGCAGCTCTCAGGGTTTCTCTAATTAAAAGTGCCTACAGCATCTCATGTATTCAGTATTCTGCAGTTTAAAATGGTTGTGGGGGAGGTTTAACTAAACCTTGTTCGATGATCTTTAGTTAATGTGCCCCCACCACCATTTTGAAGCACAAGGACTCTGAATACATGAGGTGCAAAGGCTGCTGGAGTGCACCAATTAACACGCTCCAACAGACGTGATTAATCAAGTCTGCTCCAATGTGCAGTAACTACAGTGCATTGGAGCAGCATCCCTGCACGTCTACAGGCACCCATAAGTTACACAAGTGTGTATTTTAAGTGCCTACTTTGTGACTCAGACCCATGGAGTTAGTGGAAGTTGTACCCATGTATCTGATGGCAGAACCTGACCCACAGGGGATGGGACCAAAACCGAGGTTAAGCTTAAGGACTGATGAAACCAAAAAGGAAACAAGCAAAACTTTGTGGGGTGGAGAGGGGGAAATCAGTCGCATCCTCTATTTTCAACACTGCTGCAGAAACAGACCATTGAAATGAAAGGGCATTTGGTCTCTATCACTGTTACCCCTTCATTGTAAAATGGAAGCTAATTATATATGACTTTGCCCAAGGGTCACAATGTATCTTTCAGCTTCCCTCTTATTCCAAAGAGAAGTGTCTAATGTCCAGTGCACTTCCAATTGGTTTTCACACTAGTGTGCAGGAGGGCACCCAAAGATCCACCCACTTGTGGAAGCTCCCCTCATTTTCCTCCTACCTGGGGTTATCACAATCTGGCCTGTTTCCTCCTGTGTAAAATGGAGTTAGTTCCACATCAGAGATGTTGTGAGATCAGTGCAATCGTGTCTGCAAAGTACTTTTAAGGTCCTGGAATGGAAGGTATGAGGTCATATACAGTTAATAGTATTATGTAGTATTCATTATCCTTTCTGATCTCTGGGTTTTAACATCATACTAGTTCCTCTTGCACATCCCTTCAAAAATGAGCCCCGTTTACTAGATTCTCTGCTCTCCTTTCTGTTGCTGTGCTACGCTTAATATTTTTCTCTCTTGTGGCTGGTGACTAGCCTCTCAGAATATGTGAATGAAATCAAGACGTTAAGAGGTTGCCTCTTCCTACTGCTTGTTTCCTTACTTGATGAAGTCATTACACTCTCCCTGTGGCGCACAAACTAAATGGAGTGTGACACAGGGAGGATACACTGTTCTTGTTTGTGACCATCCAGGAACTTGCCTGCAAAATTACCCTGGCAAACTCATAATTCATGTTCTTCGGGGCCCTGTCCACACAGGCTGGCTTTATTTCCTTACCAAATTTGCTTCTCAAACATTTCTGAACCCATCTGTGTGTGTCTCTAACTGCCGAATCAATCCCACATCCCTCTGAATCCTAATTCTCACATCTAATCCAGTGAAAGCCCCAAGATAATTTTTAGTGAGGGAAATAGCCAGGACATCAGAAGGCTGGTCCTTAGCCCTTAACAAGTGTAGAAGGGACATAAACTAATTCCATAACATGATTATTCTTCTGTGCTATAATTAAGAATTCAGCCTGGAAGCTCAGAATGAATTCACCTTTTGAGCCTACGTTATGTTAGATATAAAAAGAAGAGTGAGGAAAGTATAGGTCCCCTACTGAATGGGAAGGGAAGTCTTTCTGATGTCTCCTGCAAGCACAAACTACAAGATTAATTCTGACCCCTGGCATACCATCAAAAGGGCAAACAAGTCTCATAACAATATGAATTCCAGCCCCAGTGGTCTGGGTCTTTGAGGAATGAAAGCTAACACTGCCGATACTACCACCAGAACTGTTAAGGAACATTTGTGTGAAAGTGCAGGATTAAGGGGCTAATGTTTGACTGCAGGAAGCTGCATCCTAATTGTACATGGCTGAAAAGTCTTGGCAGCATTGGTCAGACATACCCATCTGTCCATTCCCTTAATTCTACTGCAGCCTCCTTTCTTACTTTTCATTTTTAGTTACATTGCTCCTACATAAAAACTGCACATCTGCTATGACCTGTGCTTGGTTGGCTCTACTGCATGTGGCCCAATCTCACTAATCTGGAAAGCACAATAAAGGGCAATGACAAATGATGTTTTGGATAGAAGTACCTCATTCCATAATTGACTGCTCTGACCAACACTTCTAATACCCAAATAAAGTCTGATGGTTGTGGATTCCTCTTCACCTCCCCACATCCACTGCCTTTGGACCAACGCTCCAAAGGCCCCTTCAGGGCCAGTAAGTCTTGCTAAATTACTAACTAAACAATACTAGGACATCAGTGTGACATGAGATCATGCATAAATCCTGTCCATAGTGAGCCACAGATGCAACGTATTTTGTCACCAAAGGAAAGCCCAGAAATGGACCAACTGTACTGGAGTCCTCTAACTTTTTATGAATGACACCAAACTGGATTTATAAATCCTGACTGTCCAAGAAGTTCCTTAGTTGGCAAAGGACACAAGCTACTGGAATCCATCTTTCTGAAGTACAGAGAGCATCACCAGCCATACCATCATCTATGCCAAAAATATAGATTACAAAGTGTCACAACCCAAAGTTGTGATCACAACTTGTTTTCTTGTTTGTGTGTGCTTCGGCATCGCTAAATTGTGTTCCCGCTAAATTGCAGCTCTTTTGCACGGTGGAGTGTTCTGTTGCAATTAAGAACCCGCGTGCAGGAGTTCTTCCCGCCAGTTTTGTAGCCTTCTTTGCATCGTGCATTTCTTTTGCATTATGGTGATGCACGGTACAAGGAAGTTCCCGCCATTTGTATTAAGATTTCCATCACATTATTGGCCAGTCTTAATATAGGCACACGTGGCGGCTAGCTATTGGCTTGCTAGCCATACAAAAGGCTTGGGTAGTTTCCGCCCAAGTTGGAGAGAGAGA